CTCTATGACACTGAAGGATATTCTCCGATAGTGTGAAACTGCCTCGGGACAACTCATCAATGTCGCCAAATCGTCCATCTTCTTCTCTTCAAAAACACCAGAGGTGACATAGTATTGTGTCAAACAAATCCTTAGCATTGATGAAGATGGCGGTGTGGGAAAGTATTTTTGCCTCCCAGAGCATTTTGGTATATGTAAGAGAGATCTTATCCTCTACTGTCGATCGGATCAAACAAAAAGCTATGTCTTGGTCTTCACGATATCTCTCCTTGGCCAGCAAACTCAAGATGCTTAAATCAGTACTCTCAGACATCCAACATATTCTATGTCATGTTTTCAGCTACTGATGGGTTTGTGTAACCAAACTCAGTCCATCCTCAAAAGATTCTGGTGGGACGAAAATTCGTCAAAGAAGATAATATGTTGGATCGCTTGGGAAAATATTACTAAAGCAAAATCAGAAAGAGGCCTCGGCATTCGGTATGTTCATAATTTCAACCTCGACCTCCTCGCAAAACTAGCATGGCACATACTCACTCGACCAGACAGACTACTGGCCCGACTCCTCCTTGAAAAGTACAGCATAAATTGTCACTTACGCTCGGTTGATTGCTACTCATCAGCCTCCCATGGTTGGAGCGGAATTTTATTGGGAAGAAACTTTCTGGAGCTAAGACCGAGGAAGGCTTATGGCAACAGTTTATCGACCAATGTTTAGAAAGAAGTATGAGCATGTTCAGTCCAAGCAGAGAATACGATGAGGATCTGGTTGTCGCAGACTTACTCATCTCAAGGGATTCAAAGAAATATTGAGGAAGTGTTCCTAGATTTTTCTACACAAATAGCTTGTAATGTACAAACTCAGATGAGAGCAGAAGATGCATACTGTTGGTATGGTACCAAATCTGGAGCTTATTCAGTGAAAATATGGGTGTTTGGTTTTGAAAGAAATGTAGGATCACCATACAGCAGAGCCACCACTCGCTGAGACACTTCACTAACATAAATCAGTTGGTCTGTTAATACATCACCAAAACTGAAGCTTTTCTTCTAGACAATGTGTTGTGGAGCTCTCCCCAATGGGACCAATCTCTCCTTGCATGCATGGCTTATCTGCATCTGCAACATCTCCTCATTGTGGAGACCCCAAGACTGCTTTTCATTTTTTCTTCCACTATCCTTTCGCTATCCATGTATAGACCTCAGCACCCCTCAAACAACGGTTGTGGTTGAAAGACTTTACTACATGAATTTAATGAATGATTTCGCAAGAAAAAATGCAAGAAGATCAATATTTTAGTAATAAGTATCTTTGATTCTATTGTTTTTGTTTTTTTACAACATTTTTGATATTTGATTATTTTATGGAAGTTTAATTTTTTATTACTCTTTTTATATGACTTTGAATTATATATAAGGGAATAGCTGTTTGACAAAAAAAAAATAAGGGCATAGTTTTTTGAATTGGCTTGGGGCATTATAAGATGTTGGACCGGCACTAAACAACCGTTTACTACCACCTCTTATCTCTCTCTAGCGTTAGCTATCAAAAAAATCACTATCTCTAGCTTATATTCCACCTACTCTTTATTTGTGAACCTATCATCATGAAATTGCTAGTTTCTCTGGACCACAAGAAACCAGTTGATATTCAAAACACGTCGGGTGTCTACAAACACTACCATATCCAGCGCTCTTTCAGCAGCTCATGAATGCACAATTGGCACAACATGGTTCTATGTCTCCTCGAGGGACACTACTCCCATCTTCCAAACATGCCCTACCATCTCCTTTCTATATTACCTGAACACTGACTCAGCATGGTCAAAGGAAACGGGAGTTGCTGGGTTACTTCGACAACAATAATCCGGTCTTGAGGGAGTGTATGTCCAAAACACTTCTCACTTTCTCTTCGCCTCTAATGGCTGAAGCACTTGCATTGCATGAAGATATCATGACAGTAAATCAAACTCTTCTCTCCAAAGTATGGTTTCGATCCAACTCCCAAAAGCTCATATCCGGTGGAGTTTTGTCGAGTTCTCACTGATATCGAGTTCTTATCCTCATCTTTTACTTCTCCTCTATTTTCTTACATTCCTAGATCCCAAAACATGTTTGTAGACTCCTTGGCTAAATGCCTTTTTGTGAAGCCTCTTCTACATTGTACTATATTTGTACATCATCTTCTTCTACATTATTTTATGCCTTGGTTACATGTACCATCTCCACCACTGTCATCAGATACATTTATCTCATGTCGTCGTGAGTGACCTAAAACTGATCAAAGAAGATGAGCTGTTTTTGTTTATTGTGTGTTTATTTTTATTATATGCATATATAATAGAAATGTATAGCAATATGTATTATGTTTGTTCAATTTATATTATGTAATACGATATATTTTGTTACTATATTGTTTTATCATGTTCCATTTCATTTGATGATTAATAAAGAGTATTATGTTTTGTTTGAAAATATAGTTTGTAATTTTCTTAAGTTCTAACCATCGTTACATGTTTTTGACCCTGTAAAAATCTACTTAAAATTTTGGTTATATAAAAAAAATCGTATTAACACTTATTAATTCACAAGTCCATTCTACTTTCATTTTAGATAATATAGTTCAATATTATATATTGTAGTTTATATTTGGATTTATGTTTAGTGTTAGTATTTCGAAGTTAGAGTTGGGTTGATGTCGAGGTAGGATCAATTTAGTATTAAGTGTTGTTGTAGGTGGATTATAGTTCTATACTACTTCATCAACATGGAATATACTCTTTATTTAAGAAAATTCTATTTTTATTCACTCATTTTATTGCACACGCTGAATATATATATATATATATATATATATATATATATATATATATATATATCAAGTAAATAAGCGTGTGACATGGTTGGCTTTACGTGATGTGTTTGTAAATAGTAATGTTTCATTCATGTTCATAAAACAAGCCACGATATCATACACTATTTCTCTTTAACCGTATACTTGCAAATAAGAAGGGTATTACCAAGCCAAAAGTGAACCAGATGGCAGTCAGTTAGTAACGTCAAAATGAATATCATATTCTCAATTTCACTTCAAATTTTGGTCATTTAGTAAATCCTCCCTTCTATTATTTATTATACTAGGTGCGTAGCTCTACGTAAACACTGGGTCGTTGACCCTTTGTTTGCTTTATATACATATGTTGAAGTGATGTCGTGTTTTTGTTTGGTCTTTGATTTCCCAAAGATTTGTATTGTAGTGTGTTTAAGGTTGTGTGAGTAAGTATATATTTCTATCGTGTTTTGGTTTTGTGAATCATTTTTTCGTTGTGGAAGAATGATATATTTGGTGGTACTTATTTGATGGCTGTTTGTTTTGAAGTAATGGTCATTATTTAAAATTTTGTAGTTAATTTTATTTCATGAAATTTATGTTTGTTGTGTATAAATAGTCACATAAATTATTAAAAAAAAAAAAAATTGAACTAATGTGAAATTTGTAAACCTACATATATTTTAAACCTTAACAGACTGAAAATGAAGTGTATTATTGTAGACAAATACTAATATATATGGCCTAACGATGTTGGGCCTGTTAGCTCAATGCATAAGAAAATGATGGTGAAGAGTTCGTGCCATTAACTTGCCGCATTTGTGTAGCTTTGAATAGTTGCTGAATTTTCCAGCTCTGCATGTGTTTGATTCTGCTCTTTAATTGTGTAATACATATATTAAGTTCGGCTTTAGGTGTCCTGGTGAGAGTTGCTTACCTTTTCGCTTTTGGGTTACAGTGAAGTCACTGCTTTTCTTCGACGCCATTGCCCCGCATAAAAAGCTGCAAAGCAAGTGTGAAAATTGTTAAAATGGTGTGTGTGTTTACTTTTGTTTACCTAATTTGTTGTGTCTTGTTATGTTTTAGTTCACTTGATTGATATTTGTATGTTTGCTTTAATTTTAGTTTTGAATGGTTAGAAGTTAAGGATAGATGATTGTTAGTCTTTTTTATTCAATTTATTTTAGAATGCTTGTTTTGGTTGTGTGCTGTTTTTTATTTCTTAGAAGTTTAATAATATAATTAATTGTCCAAATCTTTTGAGTAAGGGAAAAGATAACATACCAGTTGTTTGTGGTAGGCCATTGAAGGCCTCTGTAGACAAGGGTGTTAGTCCCACTGGTGTGACTACTGATGTCTAACATCTTAAGGCTTTTCAGTATAGTCACTCTTGACAATGTAACATATAGTTGATTTTTTCCTGAACACCAAACAAAGATCAGTCCATGTCACATTAAATTTCATAATTTTCAAACTCAAGAACATTATATAATATTATACTTAAGCAATCATCTTAGGCCAAAGTTCTTCATAAATAGTCTTCCTTGAGTTTTCACTACCCGCTTGATATCTTCTGCATCGTCTTCGACTATGTTCACAATGACTTCCCCTAAATCCTCAATTAGAAAACAAACATTAGTGCTCATGGAATTTGAATCTCAAGTGTCAAACGTTTCCAATATTATTCCTCTGTTTCTTAACAAAACATTTTTTTAAATGAAAACTTTACTCACCAGAAGCAGTGTCTATAAAGTTCCCATTATTCGGAGCTGTGTGTAAGAAACTTGAACCGGGCATATGACTTCTCTGTGTAAACCAAAATGTTTTAATACATTATAGCCATAAATTCATACATAACAAAAAAAATCTAACTTTATGTTTACCTTAAAACAACAAATTTTACTGCTTCATTATATTTGTAGGGAGAAATTAAGTTAAAGTTACAGTTGGGTAAAACTAATGATCAACTGATTAAAGATGGCGAGATGTAGAGGTAGAGGAAGATGAAATGCTTCAAGAAAACCAAAAGGCTCACTCTCTAAAAAAGTTTCTGAATCATTTATTTATTATCTCAATTAGAGGGAAATAGGTTTTAAGTGGAGTGTAACTGGAAGGCATAAAGAAACATAACTAACTTCAAGCATCTCACAACTTTAGAATGCACTATAAAATGCGCTCAAATGGAATGATTTATGAAGTTGCGTACATAGAAGGTAATGAAAAATTCATGAAATGTACATAGACCATTTTAGAACACTTTTCATTGGTTTGATTGATGGGGATTCAAGTAAGGGAGTTGGGGTTTCATGTGCTTCCACTACATGAGTGTTTTCTGTGTCAGCCAGATGTAATCCGTTAGCTGATTTTATTGATCTGGGATAGATTCAGTATCATCCCCCGTAACAACAAGGTCATCCACACAAAACAATTGAAGATAGGGAATTGTCCGAAACAACAAAAATAAAACCAGTTCGTTAGAGTACCTCCAATGGAATTCTTTTAATCAGAACCTCACTATTAAAAATAAAGAAATAAAACCAAAAAAAAATAAAAGAGAGAATGAAGAGAAGTTCTAAATTTAGTGTTTTTAGAACCAGCTCTAAACTTTTTGTTCTACATATAACATGACTAGCATTTTGAGATTTAAAAAAATAAAAAATAAATTCTCATTTAATTAAAATATTTCTCTTTTTAGAAGTTCACCTAGCTTCTAATGGTTGGAGATGCTCTTATAGCCTTCCTGGAAAATTGTTTGGTATCTTGTTGTAATCGTCTTATTAGTGATTGTGAGAGCATGTGCAACGGTTATCTTAACCAAATCCTTAAGGCATAATCCTTAAGGGAAATGAGTATTATAATAATAAAAGAGGGGAAATCAGTAAGGGAGAATCCGTAGTTAAGGATTTTTTTGGGCTGGTCCTTGCTGACGTGGACGCGGAGGATGAGAAGGGTTTCGCGTGATCCTTTCCCGAAAAATTCATTTCCTCGCAACCTAAAAAAAAAAAACTTCTCTGGGTGACTCTTGGCGACTTGGCGATTGTGTCGACTAGGTTCAATCGAAGAGTAAAGAAGGTAATCGAAGAGTTCTCTTGTGGTTTTATGTATTCAGATGGTGTTGCATGTTATTTTTCTCACAATTTTGGGTTCCGAATCGGTATCTCGATTGATTTTGATCTTTTCGTTTGAAGTTTTTGGGTAAAATCGAGAAGGGTTTGAATCGGTTTGGGGCTATTGGCGTATGTTGTTAGGGTTTGAATCGATTTGGTTTGATATCGAGAAGGGTTTCCATCGAGAAGGGCTATTGGCGTATGTTTGTTAGGGTTTGAATCGAGAAGGGTTTCAATCGGTTAGGGTTTGATATCGATTTCTGTTTCAATCGATATAGGGATTGGGTTTGAATCGATTTGGGGATTTTTGGGGTTGTTAAGTGTTTTCAAAACGCTATATCGATTCAATCAATTAGGGTTATACACTGGAGTTTAACGAGCTCATTTTGTAAGAGTAGCATTGATTTTGTGATTGCTATTATTAAGAGTAGCATTGATTCTGTGTTTAACGAGCTCATTTAGTATTGATGATTAACGACTTGATGCGTATTGTAATAAGAGTGTGATTAACGACTGTGTTGCTGCTTTTCAGGTTACGGAAACATGGGAAGATACAGTTACAGCCAACCTTCTTCATCAGATGGGTGTGATGATATACAAACAAGGCTTCTTGAAGAAGAAGCTGCCCTCTACGCGGAAGAAGCTGCTCGATGCCACACCATAGCAGACCCCGTTCAGTACCATTCCCAACCCGAGGGTGATGAAGGAATCCCAAATAGCTGGTGGGATGTGGCGGTAATGTAGGAGGTCAGTGAGTGCCAGCGAGAAGTTAGGGAGCTTAAGGAACAAGCTAACAAGACTCAGTAGAAGCTGGAAAACCTTGAGAAGACAGTCAGGGAGTTAGCCAACAGGAAATCAACATTGGTAATTGGCTTTCCATGGGTTGCTCGTGCGATGGTTGGTGTGATAGTTTTAATATGTATGGTGGTGATGATCAAGCGGGTTAGTTTCTTTCCATCTTCTTATCATATATTTTGTCATCTGTTTTTAAGACTGATGACTCCTTTTTGTCTTGTGTCTCCAGGAAGAGCATCAGCTGAAAATGCGCGTGTCTGGCCGTTAGAAGGTAATATACAAACAACTTCCTACTCTCATTCATTTGAATAAATAAAAACATAGAGTAATTGTATGTATAAACTCGGGAGTAACTAAAATGAATAAACTTTTTATAAAACTTAAACTTGTTTTTCTAAATTTATAAAACCTAAAACTGTATATATATAAAACTACTTTATAAAATAAAACATTCATCTGTTTTGAACTTTATGTAAAACTAATTAAACAAACTGTAACTAAACAAGTCAGTGCTTTCTAGTTAACAAACAAACTGTAAAAGTAAATGCTAGTTAACATTAAATTACTTTCTACCTTCCTAAATTCCTAACTCCCTTGACGTGATAGGTTTTTAAATTTCTTCAATGCTTTCTACCCTCCTAACCCCTCCGACTTGACTGGTTTAAATGTACCGGAGGTAGAAATCGCCTACTTAATAAGGCTCTGTGAAGCTACTAGAGCGACACAGAGCATCCTAAAACCATGGATAATAACGAGGGGTTTGTTAATCTTCTAAATAACCAATCTCCTTTTGACCTTCATTCACCCGAAAATGCTTGGTTTAATACCCAATCTCCGGAGTCGTCTTCTGTGAAAGAGAGGAGGAAATGGACTCTGACAGAGGATAGGATCCTTATTGGTGCTTGGCTTAACACCAGTAAGGACCCGGTGATCGGTAACCAGCAGAAAGCAGTTGCTTTCTGGAAGAGAATTCTAGACTGCTATAACTCAAGCCCTCACCTCGCCGGGACTGCACCTAGAGAGCTTGGTCAGATCAAGCAGAGGTGGGCTAGAATTAACGAGGTTGTCGGGAAGTTTGTTGCTTGCTATGACACGGCACTGAGGAAGCAGGGAAGTGGTGAAAATGATGATACCTTGATGACAACTGCCCTTGACATATTCTTCACTGACTACCGAGTCAAGTTCAACCTAGAACATGCATGGAGGGAGCTGAGACACGAGAAGAAATGGTGCTCCACCATTGTTGCTAAGGACAGTGCCAAGGAAAAGCGGAAACAGGTGATAGATGTTGATGTAGAAGCCGAGGGGAGACCTATTGGTGTCAAGGCTGCTAAAGCTGCTGCCAAGAGGAAGAAGAGTCCTCGTGAAGAGGAGCTGTCTAAGCTTCAGGCCATTTTCGAAATGAAAGAGACAATCTCAAAACAGAAGCTTCTTGAGCGGTTACTTGCAAAAAAAGAACCATTAACTGAGATAGAAACAGCTCTTAAACTCAAGCTTATGACTCAAATGATATGATGTTTATGTTTAGTTTATGGTAAATGAGTTATATATATAAGTAGCATGTTTAGTTTAGTCATATATGATTCGGTGGTAATAATGTATTGATAACTTGTCGTCTTGTTTGTTGTTGCAGGGTTTAGGTCACGGATGGAGTTCAGTAGCTGTTGTTGTCTTCTAGTAGTCACGGATGGAGGTGTGTAGCTGTTGTTGTCTTTTGGCTGTCACGGATGGACGCATGGGAAAGTGTTCATGGGGTCTTCTATTTCAGTTTGCTTATTTAAGTGAAGTGTTGTTTTAGTTGTTTTACCTACACATCTCCTTATCTTTTTCCCCTCTGAACTTGTATGTTTCTTATTCTCGGCGTGTTTGTAACTCTGGACGTGTACTCTGTTTGTGTAATCAAGTTGCTTCTCTTCCGAAGCTTAAATTCTCAGGTAACTTTTGCTTATTCAGGTTGTCTACTATATCTGTTTTGATTAGAAGTTATGCCATCTCGATGATAGTCGAAAGCTATTCAACCCGTTTTGAATCCTGTAAATGAATTAAATGAATTAGTAGTCCAGTTTAATAGTTATACAAGTTGTTAAGTTGAATCATGTAAATGAATGAAATGATTTATGGAAAACTGATCACACGTAGTATCTAACCAATGCTTGAATCATTTTTGTGTCAACCACATTTGCATCATTTTCATTCGTAAAAAGACAGAAAATATACATATATATATATAAAGACAGAAAAAAAAAATATATATATATATATATATAATATATATATATATATATATATATTTATATACACATGTTAGAAAAATAAAACCAATCACATTTATATTCTAGTTTCTAAAAATATTAATGTCACCAGTCTCCTAATATTTTGAAGGGAATACCACAAGATGTCATCATCTTCATCCGACGAAATTGAAGAAAAATTGGACGAACTATGCGATGATATATTGGAAGAAACGTGCGACGACATTTTGGAGGCCCCACCCAAAAAGCCGAGCAGACACGTTTGGATATGGCACGCTTTTTTCGGTCTTCCAGGTACGTTAAACGATATTAATATCCTCGAACGGTCTCCTGTTTTTGATGACATTATGCAAGGTCGAGCTCCTACTGTAGAGTACATGGTCAATGGACACATGTATAATTTGGCGTACTACCTCACAGACGGTATCTATCCAAAGTGGTCAACATTTATCCAATCTATATCACTCCCACAAGACCCTAAAGCGGAGTTATTTGCTAAAGTTCAAGAATCAACCCGAAAAGATGTGGAGCGGGCATTTGGAGTTTTGCAAGCTCGATTTGCAATAGTAAAAAACCCCGCTCTTTCATGGGACAAAGAAAAGTTAGGGAAAACTATGAGAACTTGTATCATACTACACAACATGATAGTCGAAAATGAACGAGATAGATACACTCAGTATGATACTTCTGATTTCGAAGAAGGAAGTGTTACCAGAAGTTCAAGGGTGGACACGTCTTATAATACGTACATGCCTCCAAATCTCGAGCAAATGCGTGGCATTCGGATTCATGTTCGCGATCGGCGTATACATGAACAATTAAAGAAAGATTTAATTGAAAATATTTGGAACAAATTTGGTGTTCAAGAATAATATGTATTGTATCTTTAATATTAAATCTTTCAATCAATAAAATTTGTATTTTCACTTTTTTAAAAATTAAATATTTTTTTATTCCTAAGGATTCCATAGAGAATAACACCATTGGAAATAAGTTTAGGTCAAGGATTAATTTTTAAGGTTAATTTTTAACCTTAGAGTCCTAAACCCCAAAAAAGATTTAATTGAAAATATTTTTTAAGGTTAAGGATTCATGGGGCAGTGCCACCAATGTGGATGCTCTGACAGCTTGTATAGAATAATTTGGGTTCCTATGGCGTTGAGTGAGACCGTTCTACTGTTACTACTCGTGTAATAAATAACTGCTTTCAGCAACAACCTTCTGAGAAAGTCTTGTTTCCACCTTCAGAAGGTTATGATGATGGATCTGCTCGTTCATCACCGTAACTAATTTTGTCCGGTCAGATTTTTTTTTTTTTTTTTCTGATCCGTAGTCAGGCAGGGCTTCAGGGAAGTAGCTAAGATACTGGTTCCATTACTTATCCTGCTGTCCCAAGTGCTTCAGGTTAGTAAACTCAATCAGTAAAATTTGAGCACAGGCTCCAATCCAAGGAGTCTAACTAAAACCAGAACACGTTCCAACTAACCTCAATCTAGTAGATTTTATCCTACACTATATAAGCTTAGAAAAGTTAATGGTGGTGCAGACCAATAAACAACCTTAAGATAATCACACCCAAAAAATGAAGATAACGGAAATATCAAACTTACTACGAACCGTTGCAATTTCTACTGCTATTTACAAAACAGTTTGAAATGGAATAAAAAAGCGTAACTCATTACTAAAGTAAATAAGAAGTCTTCCTCTGTTGGGTATCTTCTTTTCATCGGAACAACATTTTAAGCTCCTCAAGTCTAGCCGACCGGACTTCTTCGTCAGTCAAAGCTCCAGCAATCATCCGCTGCTTCCTCGCCTGAACTTGTTGCATCCGTTCCTCCACTGTATTCTGCACACAATCATCCAAAGACAAACAATGTTAGTTAAGAGATGGATTACTTGGAACTCACAAGACAACAAAAAAAACTGGAGAATGCAGCTTCTAGTGGTACCTTGACAATGAATCTTCTGACGCATACAGTTCTTTTCTGCCCTATGCGATGAATTCTCATGATTGCTTGCTCTTCCACCGCCGGATTCCACCATGGATCCTAATGTGTTTCAAGAAAACAAATAAGATTATCATCACCGTCATCATTTCTTTATAATCAAGAAGAATTTAACAGCAAGCTTGAAGAGACATATTACCATTAAGAAGACATTTGAAGCTGCGGTTAGATTCAGACCAACTCCTCCAGCTTTTAGAGACATAAGCAGAACCTGTACAAGCATAAAGATTTGTAAGCTCTCTGTTCCATTCAAAAATTCTTTAGAAAAGATCTATTTACTTACTGTTTTCTGTTTGGTTTCATTGAACTCTTTTAAGACCCTTTCTCTTGCCTTCTGAGCCAGCTTTCCATCGAATCTAAGAAACTCGATTCCTCTTTTTCTCAGTGGAATCTCCAGGAGATCCAAAAAGGACGTCCACTGGCTAAAGACAATGCTCTTCTCTCCCGTACCAGACATCCGAATCTTTTCCAAGCATTTGATCAGCTCTGAGACCTTTGACGACTCCTTCCAGTTCTTTACAACATCAACACGGAATATACTCTCCGTTGGGCATGAGATGAGCTCAGTTTTCTTCAGCACTGTCCTGCATATTGGGCATAGACCACAAGACGTAGAGCGCCAGCTAGTAAGGAGACATTCACGGCACATTTTGTGAGCACAAGGTGTGAGAATGGGATCATCTGCAGACTCCAGACATATTGGACACTCTTTGCTGTTGCCATCGCGTATGTCTTGGATAACTTCTTCGATGTAGGCCCGAGAGGGTGCTTTCTGCGATACAGAGTCAGAGTTGTTGTCAAGAAATCTCCTTGCGAGGCTGTCTAAGTCAGCGTACTGTTGTGAATCTGCCCGGCTGCAATTATTCAGAATGTATTAGAAATTATTTCCAAGGGATAACAAGTCTACTACCAATGTGTTAATTTCTGAATTTTTCTATGCACCTCATAACGAGAAAAGGGTGGTTGCAACATTGGCGTAGACGGAGGAGGAGCTCTAAGATGTTTGCATAGTTGTGAAGAACTCTTCCTTGTGCCACAAACTGGTCAAATTGGACCTGTTTCCAAACAAAGAAAGAAGGTTATGCATTTACAAAGACATTGTCAATCCTTGAAACAGATTATGATTAAGCTTTTATTGTGGTTGAGACCTAGAACTATAACACTTACTTTAGATCTCTTGAAAAGGGCAGTATAGAAGTCACGTTCTGCTTCAGATTGTTCACATTCAATGACTTGAACATCGGTTGGAGGAAGTTCAAGAATTAGACTGAAAGTTTACAGATAAGGTTAGATGAACGTTAAGCATAAGACATGAATAAGAAAAAGATTGTAGCAGTGAAAAGCATCTACCTTCCTTCTTTGTCCCTCGTCTCCTTTGTTCTTCTCAGCATCAATGGTCTCAAAATCGCCTTGATCAGCTTTAGTCCTCGTGGATCACCATTTTCATAAGGCTTCTGAATCAACTTATTCCACCTGTGTACATACCATAACCACATACATTAAGTTTTCAAGTTATAAAGCAAAAGATAGAAAAAGATTTCAGATGATAACTCATCATACCAAGCCCAATTGCACCATGGTTCGACATGAAGGAAGCATAGAAGACTGTAAAGATCTTCAAGCTTGTTCTGCATTGAAGAGGTATAGAGTCAGTAAGTAACAACAGAGTTTACACTCAGATTATCTATTCACAAGTTGCTTTGAGTATCTTACTTGTAAGGGAGTCCCTGTCAGACACCATCTGCAGTGTGAAGACAACTCAAATGTAGCTTTAGCAGCTTGTGTTTTCCATGATTTGATCGTGTGAGCTTCATCAAGAACAATCCTGTACCAATCAATTCTGTGGAAAATACTGCTCGCCATATCCTGCATGTCATGATTCTCAGAGTTTAAGTTCAACTAAACTGATAAAAGAACACTTTTTGAAACTGAAGTGATGCATGAATGCTTCCTTACCTGCTTGTAAGCTGACGTTAAGACACCATAAGTTGTCAAGACCACATCATGACTCGCTATAGCTTTGGCATCCTGTGTCCTATCCCCTCCATAGTAAACTAACACAGACACTGTGTCAGGTGTTGAATGAGTCTCAAGCTCGTCCTGAAATAAAGTGAAAAAATCTATGAGGCTTTAGTGAAAAGCTATTAAAACATTAACAAGAAACAGCTAATTCAAGGCAAATCACCTTCCATTGGCTTAACAATGCCATGGGACATATAATAAGAGTGCCTCCTTTGGCCTTCACACACGTTAGTGCTTTATGACTCTCGTTCTTCTTAGGTTTGTCTCCATTAACATCTGCCGCCAAGTCACCTTCAGTTTCTGGGTTACCTCGGCCTGGCCGTGCAAGTATTAGTGCAATTGTCATCACAGTTTTTCCAAGTCCCATGGCATCTGCCAATATCTGCAAACAAAAAAGTTGCAACTTAAATCAAAACCACAGCAGAGAATATTGGCCAATCGAAGCCACTAGAGAGAAGATTAAGCGTATTTAAGAAACATACTCCGCCTCTTGCCATCTGTGTAGCTGTTGGAAACTGGATTGTTGCTTCACCGCTGAAGATGTTCACATAAATTGAAGGTGCCCTCCTGCATATAATCACATACAAATCAACGTTATTAGATGAAATAACTTGAACATTTCGCAGTTCGTTGTAAACATTTGAGATTTGAGCTACTACATACTCGTCACAGATTCGATAAGCCTCCCAGCAAGGATGGAGAGTTTCAGCTGCTCTATCAACATCAATTCCCTTTTCAGATTCTGACATCCAGTAGAGTGCTTGTTTCTGGTATGGTCTCAGGTTACACGTGAGTGTACTTGGAGCTTCCATTTCCTAAAACATTCCCAAGAGAAGATATTATTAAAATTAGTTTTCTTTCTAAGGACAAGAAAATATTCTTGTAAATATTCCACAACCTCTAGGTTATATGAATCTGCAGCGCCAACGACCCGATTCATATATGACTCAGGAGCATCCTCTTCGTCTTTGTTCTGCTCCAGACACAGTGGAGCACCTTTTCTTCGTTTCGCTATGGCCAACAATGCTGCTCTTTCGTCCGTGTCATTCTGACCAATGAAAGCAAAACGCACTTAGTTTCCACCAAATGAACAAAGAACATAAAACTGATAATGTATAAGTACATCGTATGAGTTTCATAGAGAAGCCGAGAGGAACACATACCTCCAAGTTGAGGGAGCGTTTGCGAGAGTCAAGTTCCTGAGGAGTAAACTCAGCCTGTTTGAAGATATATAAAATGAGCAACAGAGTAGAAAACTGATTCTAAACCAAAATATGTATTGGAACATGAAAAATGAGAGACGTGCCTTTTGGTAAGGTTTGATTGTCAAGTGTCTGAAAAGCTGCAGAAGAGGATGAAGCGTGGACTCAATGTTAGGTGAAGAACCAATCCGCCAAGTGGATTTGCTAACATCAGTGAATATGGAGCTGTGAATGTAAAAACTGCCATCCAAAACCACATCAGTTTCCAACAAAACAAGTATCAAACAAACAACAACAAGAGACTAAAATGAAACCTTACCTGACATAAAGCATAATATCTTGCATCATTTGGAGAAACGGTGGCGCTGCTACACATCTGCCCATCATTTTGACTTTACCAGATCTCAAAAGGCTCACAGCCCAATTCGACCATTCCATTGGAAGCCTTCCAATCTAACAACATACAAATCAAATCATTAGTCTTTTCATTGGAACTTGCTATATTGAGAACACGATTATGTTCCAACTCTAAACATAATTATAACCAAACAAGTTAAAATATCTTTGCAGTAAATGACTTACCTCTCCACATCTTTTGGTAGAGAAACGAACAATATTTGGGACTTTCAAGTTGACAGTAGATGGAAATGCGAAATTCACAACCTCGTTATCTTCCAATCTCCTTCCTTTACTAGTGGAAGTAGCCGTGACAAGAGACCTCCCAACCAAGTACCAATCTTTCTCCACCGGGAAATCTCCATCTTCCACTTTCACCTTTCTTGCATCAACCTTTGTATTTACCTTCCTCACATACACAGGCTTCTCTTCTCTCACTTGCAAACTCAAACTCAAACCACCCACTTTTGTCTCCTCAACATGTTCCATCTTCACATGAGTATCACTCCCTTCTTGCTTAGCTAGTGGCTTCAAAGAATCTGATTCCAAATCAATAACTTCAGGGGTATCAAAACTCTCAGGTTTCGCTCGAATAACTTGAAGTGGCTTCGGCGCCAAGATGATACCAGTTGGTATATATTGTTCCGTCTCCATATTCTCAGGTTCTTGTTTGACATCAACAGTAACACAATCGTTGTAAGAGCCTCTTGAAACAGCTTCTACTACAGATTCTGTTATAGAATCAACTTCTTCTTGAGGAAGAGCAACCATAGGCTTCTTCTCTATAGTATCAATCACCATATCTTCTAAATCAGGTTCCTCCTTAACACGGAACACTAAACTCGCTGCCCTAACCGATTCAGATTCTACAGTATCTTTGTCATTACAGAGAGTAACAGATTCGTCACCGGTTATTACCTCGTCTTTCACATGCATAGCATCTGAAGGATCCGAATTGGAACCATTCGAAGTGATTATGCCGTTAAGGCTCTGTTCGTCCGGTTTAGCAAAGATTCGGACTCCAGTGGATGTCCTGACGACTCCAGAGGATTCGTCGGGAGTATCTGCAACGATCTTGCAATCATCTAAACTCGAGACAGCTAATTCGTGTTCGGTTCTCCGCATCTCCGTGTCATTAGTCAGATCCATTAGAGCAAAAGCGAGAGGAGAGATGAAGGTAGTGGTGAGAGTGGGGGAGGATTAGGGATTGTTTAAATAAGGTCTCTTGGTGTTCCGTTTTGGCGCCAACTGAAGCTGATGTGGGTAATAAAAGACTTCGCGGGGTGTTTTTGGAGCCAAATTTACTGTCAAATCTCGCCGTTTAACTTTTTTTTTTATCAAATCTTATCATTTGGAAAACAATATTTTGTTTCCTCATTCTGTTTCGCCGGATATTTATGATATAGTAGTTATTTCCTTTAGTCTCGTCGTTGATTTAGGTGATGTTAGATTCTAGATTTTGATTTTTAGTTTTTAGTTTTTTATTTTATAGTAGATTTTGATTGGTGGTTTTAGATTTTGATTTTTAGTTTATGGATTTTGCTCTTAGAAATAAAAAATGTTAATAGTAAAATATTTATTACTGAAAAATAAAAAAAAGAATACATGAATTTATTAAAAATTATTTTAAAACAATATATTCAGATATAAAATAAGTATTATATTGAAGATTCAGAAATTTGATGTAGAATGCCTTCCATATAATGCACATAAGTGTTATTATGTTATTCGTCTTCATCTGAATCAGAATCATCAGTTGGTCTATTATCAGTTGTATAGTCTCAATCAAAATCAACATCTCCTATAACCTAATAAAATTATGTAGCACCATTGTAGCTGCAACATTTTTTCTTTAAACATGTATGTTGTATTTTGGCTTCTCTCTTAAGTTATTTTTCTTTTCACACACCAAAAGTCTTTTTAATAGCAGGTTGTAGTGAAGAATGTCACTTGTTAAACATTTCTATATAGCTGTTGTGCGTACGAGCTCCATCATATTGGCTAGGAAGATATATTCCCCTATATATGGAGTAAGAATCCAGGTCGAAGAGGATAACCAGAATCTCTCAAATAATACTTTTCCAAAGGTGCAATCGGAAATTAATGAGGGCCCTCCATTGCTAGTGTGCTAGAACTTATGCATCCTGAGCTGATCTCGGAATATCTATATGTGCATATGTAAACAACATGTCCATATTGTATATAGCTAAAACATTCATACTCGTGTCACTTTTCCTATTCCAATATTTTCTCAATCTTTTCCCGCAATAGTGAGAGGAACATGTGTTCCATCGATTGCACCGATGAATCCTTTACAATAAGGCCAATAATTTCTATTGGATTTTAACCTAGGATGAGGTTGTGTGAGCTCATCTGGACCAGGACTAAGCAAATGAACTGTCATTTTCTCGAGAGCACTCAACACTTCATGGGATTTCCTACATATGGTTTCTTGTGAATGACCAAATATCTTCACAACATACCTTGAGTTGCATTTTGAGCACATATGCTAAGGAATATTGCAACACTTTCTTTGATGCTTACATTATCATTCTCTTTCAACTGATAATCCTCCTTAAGCTTTTCACATAACTGAATATATATCGGTTGATACATTCGGATTATGTTATAGCATTGGATGCCGTGACCATAAAATAATTCATAAACATGTCTTCGACCATGTTCTGGATCCAGGTTCATTTGCCGCCTTTCTGTACTCATAGAATAAGGATCGATCAAGGATTCTCCAAAATTAATGCTTCCATCTTTTGCTTCATCATCTTTAAGTATTCGGTAAAATGCTTCTTTCTAATAAAACAAAAAGTAATTTATTAAACTAAATAAATATTATTTGATAAATAAAAACAAAAGAAAGAAAAAAAAATTGTTCAAAATCAAACATGAATTGTAATACCAGAAAAGGAAATTATTCAAGAGTTTGAAAGTTTTTATTCAGCTTCTCGGTCGATTCTTGTCATTCTTTCGAGATATGTAATTCTTGCATCATCGTCCAAACTGCTCTAGCAAAAGATAGTGTAAGAACATTCCAAATGCTTAAAATATAGAATATTTTTGAGGTTCATGTTTATTTTGCATGTGTGGTTGTGGAGTTTGTAGAGTAGGTGTTATATAGTAAACTATCTACTAAAATTAGTAATTTATTAAAAAATAAGAAAATCAATATTTTTTTGTTTTGGTCGTAAGTATTATAGGAAGAAACCACTTGAATAGTGATTTTGGTTTCCAAGAAGTAATTAGTAGAGGAAGCAAAAACCAGATTCCCTAAATAATTGGAAATCTAATTGACCAGAATCGTGATTGGGTTTAAAGTGGTTTTTGGAAAATCTAAAACTAGAAACCAACGTAGAATCTACAAAAAATCAAGCTTAATAATTTTATTCGAATTTGGATTCGACCCATGTAATTTGGTCGTCAAGTTTCACTTGTTGACACTAGGAAGGGAATTTTTACCGAACCAAGATTTTCTGTTTTTGGTTCAAATCGATTATAATGATTCAGCAAGTTTTTTTCTAAAAAAACTGTTATTTCTAATAGTTGTTTAAAACCCTGATTTAAAAAAAATAAATTAACTAACTACCAACCAAAATAACCAAAATTTGGAAATAATCTAATCAAAATTATTCAAAATCATCCAATTTTATACCATTTAACATAATGTAACCATACAAAAGTTTCAACTAAAATTTGATATAATTTTCAAAAAAAAAAGAATTGATTAAAGAGTCTTTGATCTCTATAAAAAGGATATGTGGTCATTACCGTTTTAGGAAAAATGTATTTGTGAAAATATTTCTTTAATTAAGATAAACATAAATTGTAGTACAACAAATGGGAAAAAAAAAAAGAATCTTCCATAAATCATCTTCTCTATTAAAAGAGAAGTACCAAATTTATCTACTATTTAGAAGTCATGTTGGACCATGTTATTAATTACTTAATTGACATATTTTATTGTTACATTAACCAGTCAAATATATATGATTTTCACAATATCTTAATAACTAATAAGAACATTAATAATAAATAAATTTAAATATAACAAATTCTGTTGAAAAAATCTAACAAGATCTTACCAAAAATTTTAAATATATTTTTTATAAAATAAGTATTTCTTTATTTCGTTATTAGATATGATTATAATTAAAACTAAAATATAAATCATATATTAAAAAAAAANATGATTTTCACAATATCTTAATAACTAATAAGAACATTAATAATAAATAAATTTAAATATAACAAATTCTGTTGAAAAAATCTAACAAGATCTTACCAAAAATTTTAAATATATTTTTTATAAAATAAGTATTTCTTTATTTCGTTATTAGATATGATTATAATTAAAACTAAAATATAAATCATATATTAAAAAAAAATAGTTATATATTTATAAAATAAAAAATATACCCGCACGGATGTGCGGGTAAAACTCTAGTACAACTTAATTGAAAAGGATGTGATAGTTAAATAAGAGGGTGAGGAATGAAGAAAACACGGCTTGCTTCAAGGCAAACTAAATGAGCTATATACCATAGAATTATTAATGTTCTGTTGCAATGCACGCAAGTAAAATAACCAGAAATTCTAGGGTTTTACAATACCTAAGGTGAGGACCTTAAGGTTTGAAATTTATTTTATGTCATAAAGAGAAGTAATTGGACCGGATATCTCTTTTGCGAGTTAGTTTTTAAAAATAATTTAAATTAGGCTATACTAGTGGTTCTAAACCATGATAAAGTTTTCATATATATGCTTTAGTTTCTTATAATGGAAAATGCTTCTTTTTATTGTATATAAGCATCCAATTTATCAAGAAACTATAGGAGATACGGTGATCAGTATGTTCAGGTCCGACCCTAATAGGAAGCTGTGGAAGCATAAGCTTCCAGCCTTCAAAATATAAATATTATTTCCGGTCTAATTTTGTAAAGCGTTCCCTTAGTCTAGTAGTATTATTAGTGAAGTTTTAACCCAAATATCCCAAGTTCAATCATTATATGACTCATTAGCGGCTTTTTTTTATAAAAAAAAATAGCTTCTGGTCCTTATAAAGTTAGGCCGACTGTTATGTTTTTGGACAAAAATAGTAAGAAAGGCAATACTCTCTAACCACCTTTCCGTTTGTATTATAAGTTTACCATAATCCCAAAGATTATTCAGTTTATCATAAACGGGTAAAATAACTTTGTGTCCAAAATTTAACATATGATAAACACAGTCTATGTTGTCACCGTCAAAACTCTGCAACAATAAAGAGACCATGAATCAGGAAGAAGAAAATTGTCCAGAAGAAAAGATGTATAGAATCATAAACAAAAAGAAAATGATGAGTTTCATCTAAAACGAAGAAATAAGTATCAAAACAGAGAGAAGGAAAAAGCTTAAGAAACTTTATTTTTATGGCTGTGGTTGGAGCTCTATGTTAAGTGTCAAGTTAACCAATATCCATGTGAACGCGCCTAGTCATCATTCAAATAATAGTGCATTGTGTTTAGATGTACAATAAATTAAAATACAAGATTGAATATGATGTAGCGGAAGCTTCTAGGGATAGAACTAGATCCGTTGATTCTAAGAATATCCGGATACTAGGGTTTGTGAATACTCTTCACAGTGTTTAATTAAAAAGCTCTTAGGGTTTGAGAATACTCTTCTCAGTGGTTTATAGAAACCTCTTTAGGAACAGACTTTTATTTATCAAATCATCATAAAAACTGTTGAATACAACTCTAGGCATAAGAAGCATATATATATGAAAACCCTAAAACAATAAAGATAATTATCTAAAATAACTAATAAAATAAATAATAAATATTTGGAAATATCCCAAATATTTATCTACATCAGAATAGCACCCTCTTAATCCCATGTTTATACATAACTGATGAAGATAAGTACCAACGATATTTCGATAACAAAGAGTAAGCCTCCAATTCATTTAAGGCAACAATAGTTACAATCAACTCTAAAGTCATTGAACCTACAGAAGTCCCCAAAGATACCCTGTTTGAATATAACTTTTAAAAACTATTGAACAAATGGGGATGTAGCTCAGATGGTAGAGCGCTCGCTTAGCATGCGAGAGGTACGGGGATCGATACCCCGCATCTCCAATTAGTTATTTTTACCCACTTTCCAAATATCATTCCACTTTTTTAAATTATCGCAGTCAAAATGGATTCCGCGAAAATGCATCTGGTTGATACTTTGAGTCGTCTTTAATTCTTCTTCGTTTTTCTTACAAAGTTACAATAACACATCGTTCTCCAAGAGAATTCATTCAATACATATCTCTATTAGATGGGTCCCGCTGAAACTTATCTTCACTTTACGTGTCTTGTCGTTAACCGATTCCATAGATACACGAATATTTCTTCTTCCTCCTCTCAGACCGTCAGCGATACTTCCCTTCCATAAAACATCATAACTAAAACCTTTAAATCCAAAATAAAAAAAAAAACACGAATATGACAGAAACAACACAAAAAGCCGACCTCCCAGCTTCGGTCTCAACGACATCAGGAGTGAAAGGACTCGTTGACGCCAAAATAACACAAGTCCCCCGGAGCTTCCACTACCCTTCTTCTACTGTCTCCAACAATACACCTTCTGATATCTCCGGCTTAAACCTCACCGTCCCTATCATCGACCTTGGAGAAATCAACAACACATCAACAAGAAACGCCGTCGTTTCAAAGATCAAAGACGCAGCCGAGAATTGGGGTTTTTTCCAAGTGATAAACCATGGCGTTCCTTTAAATCTTCTTGAAGATATTAAACAAGCAGTTCAAAGATTTCACGAGGAAGATCCTGAGGTCAAGAAAAGGTACTTCTCCACTGACTCGAACAAGAAGACGTTTGTTTACAGTAACAGCTTTGAAGATACTTATAAATCTGCAACTCCTTTGAACTGGAGAGACTCTTTCACTTGTTACCTCGCTCCACATCCTCCTAACCCAAAGGAGATCCCAGTAGTTTGCAGGTAAGTAACTTGTATTTTTCGTATCTAAGCGTGTCATGCTTCCTATCATTTATTATTTAGTAAGTGATGTTTGTTAGGGATGCTGTGATGGATTACTCGAAGCATGTAATGGAATTAGGCACGTTACTGCTCCAACTTCTCTCAGAAGCTTTAGGTTTAGACTCTGAGATGCTTAAGAGGATGGATTGTCTCAAGGGCTTGTTTATGCTCTGCCATTACTACCCACCTTGTCCACAACCTGACCTGACTTTGGGGATAAATAAACATACCGATAACTCTTTTATTACGATTCTTCTTCAAGACCAGATCGGTGGTCTCCAAGTTCTTCACAAAGATTATTGGGTCGATGTTACTCCTCTTCATGGAGCTCTTGTCGTCAACATGGGTGATTTCATGCAGGTAAGTCACTCAATTCACTGCATTCTTTTTAAATCTTCACCGAAAAGTAGAGTTTGGTGACATTTTTTTTGGGTTTTTGTAGGTCATAACGAATGATAAGTTCTCGAGCGTGGAACATAGGGTACGTGCGAACATAGATGGACCGAGGATTTCAGTTGCGTGCTTCTTTAGCTCGAGTCTGTTTCCAAATCCCACGGTTTATGGACCCATCAAAGAGCTTCTATCTGATGAAAACCCTGCAAAGTACAGAGATATCACCATACCAGAGTATACTGTAGGTTTCCTTGCTAGCGGCTTCGATGGGAAATCACATTTGTCTAAATATAGGGTTTGAAAAAGAGAAAGACTTGTCCTGTTGATGTAAATATGTTTGTGTGTACTTTTGCACTTGATTTGTCTATTTAGTTCTACATGATATGTTATGTGTTTGCAGTGGGTTGATAGAACTTCACAGCTAATGCGGGTGTACATTTGTGTTTTTGTTTTATAAAATTAGCTTTAATGAGTTAAGGTTTGTGTGTTTCAGTTCATATTTAAGAGTTCTCTAGCTATTATGATACGTAATTTCATTCTATGCACAATATAAGAGGCTGAAACTATACGACCAAAGAATTCACCGTTGTGAATGCAGATTGGAAGACAGAAGTTATTTTAAATGTCATGTGTTTAGGTAGTAGTTGTTAAACTAATTAGGTTCTGGAGTTATTTGTTTCCTAAGTTTAGTTGATCGACCAGACCTGAAATGGTAGGTCTGAATCATCTTTAGTTCTAGGAGCAAACAGAAGTGCTTGACTTGTTGATTTTGCGCATGTATTATGTCTGATATGTTTGTTAATCAGATGTGAGAGACGTGAACTAAGATGTGTAAGGACCCCGTTCAGCCGCAACTGAGTTTATTTTCTTGATGGATCTTGAACATTTAGATAAAACAACAATCTCAGCACCCAAAGGGTTTAATGTATTCCTTCCCTTTCTTTTGTATCTGTGTAAATTTATGAGTATTACTTTCTTACTCCTGATTTCACATACTGTATCTCATGAATTCTTCATGCAAGTCCCACTTTCAACCAATGGGTCCCATAATGAAAGCCTTAACCACCATCCCAAATCAGGGTCTTACCTTATTATTAGAATCACAACAACAGACAATTTTGATGTTTACAAATGCAAGTGACAAGACTAAAATCCTCTTCAGACCATGATCCTGGGGGTAGACACTTTAGACTCTTCTTTGACTGCGTCGCCTGGAAGAATAACATAGATAAAACCAGTTAGTGAATGCAAATCTAATCTAAACAAAGCTACACTAGTTTGTACTCGCACCCCAGAACAATCAAAAATGTATCTACTAGAGATATCCCTATTTACACATAAATCAATGATTGATGGATGAATGATTGATGGATGAATGATTGATGGATGAATGATTGATGGATGAATGATTGATGGATGAATGATCTCAAAACCAGTAAGCTCTTTATCTCTGGGGTTGTTAAAACGCAGGGCATGCTTCTTAATCAAAGCAGGTGAAATGAAAAGGGTTTACTGAACTTTTCTTTTGCTGAATTACTGTTGACAGATAGACAAACTTGACTCTAGTCTCTATACAGTAAAAGGTAAAAAGAGTGGGGCTGAGAGTAAATTACCAGATTGGGTGGTAGTGGTGACTTCTCCATAGATGGCCTTAAGAGTAGACAGAGGAACAACCGCGGAAGTACCAGCAGAGGTGGCTTCAGCAAAGAGTTGTTGTTTCCACTCCCACATTTTAACTTTCATTTCCTTATTAGATTTGGACAGCGAATCTTTCTGCTCTTGCAAGCCCTCTACATACTTTTGCTGTTTATCAGATCTAAACCCCAAAACCACAAACGATACACCAAGACATGTGTTGATTACAGCGTTGCTGTTCATTGCTTCTGAGACCAACATTGCAATCTTGCTCGCCATTGCTCCTGTGTATCTAAATTACTAAACAAAAATTAATCAAATGGACAAAACAAGATACATAATGAACCATTCTAGTGGAAGATACCTAAGTTAGTTAATCACGGGCACAAGTGAAATCTCAATACATTTAAGATTATTGAAATTTCAAAAGCAAAGCAAGAAAAGAGATTGATAAATCAGATATGACTCATTTCAACTACCTACTCAAAGGCCAGAACTGAGAGTAAGCTCGACAAGAGTAACAAACTCAGAAAACTACAATCACATCTCAAGCACCAAAGGTCAATGCTATGGAAACTCGGGCTAAAGCCCAGCTTTTTGAAATTGAATAAAATAGAAAAGATGTATAAGAATTTGTTCACGAGTCACAGATTGCAGAAAACATGATTCGAGAACATGTCATACAAATTTCAAATGAATGGTAACAGAAACAAACCAGCTGAAGAATGTCAGTGAAGAATATTCTCACTCTCTTCTCCTTCTTCAGACCCACAGATCGAAACTCCTTATTCACGATTCCTAACAAAACTCATCATTTCTTTGATTTCTCCCGAGAAGGGAATGTGTAAACCCTAAACCCGATCGAAACGGCGTCGTTTTAGTGAGATTGCAAATTACCGAAATGGGCCAAAGGTTCACGTTGTTTTCTTGACTTGTTATTTTGTAACACTTGCCAAATTACAATGAATCGAACATATTTTCTCTTATTTTTTTTTGTTTTTTTCTTAAATAACCCGGTGTATCCTGGCACCCACTAAGGTGGATCCAGACTAGCGGCGAGTGTTTGTATCAGCCTACGTTATCGGTCGGAATACTCCTCGGTCACCAAACGCGGGGGGAGCCCAGATTTTAAATTTTACTCCCAGTGACCAGTGGAATTCGAACCCGAATCCGTATTGGGCCAAAGCTCCCTCAAGACCACTAGACCGTCTTCGCTTAGTTTATATTTTCTCTCTTCATCTCTCTCATCTTCTTCTCACCCTCTTGTCCTAATTTATTTTGTTTTCTAATCTCATTTTTGTTCAGTTTTGATATACATCACTTGGAGGATACCTTGCAAATGGCTTCCATAGGGAAAATCATTTGTCTAATTTCAAGATATAAGATATGAAGAAAGAACTTGTCCAGGCTCAAGGAAATATACTCAAACAGTTGTGTGTTTTTGCATCAGTATTTAAAAGGAACAATTAACTTACCAGTTAAACGGATTTACACTTTATTTATTTATTTTACTTCCGCTTCATGACTAAAACAACAATGTAGCTGATGAAGAAAGGGAAATGATCAAGTGTGCAGACATATAAGGTTCCTTTCTTCAAACTACATGAGCTTCGTTTCTGAGCTTATCTATCAACTCATCCACTGAAGCAACGACAACCCCAGATTTCCTCTTTGGAGGCTCCGTCACTTCCACTATCTCTATGTCGGATACTTTCATATCCTCCAACATCATTTTCTTTATGGGCTTCGATTTCGACTTCATTAGGTTGAGGAGTTAAACTAAAGTAAACATTAAAAGAAATCAAAATAGTAATCGTCTATAAATATATTAATAATTAATAAGTATGATTTTTAAAATGAATAGTCAAATAAATAGATAAATTGTTTTTATGAAAACATGAAATTAATTTTAGTTTCAGTTAAGAATAAGTTAAACATATTAAATAATTTTATTATTTATTTTCCGTCGGTAGGACGTTCTATTCTAGTACTTTATAAATCAAATGCAAATAGTTTCATTTTGGTTTTACTCACACTTCAAATCACTCTTTTGTTTGATTAACAAAAATATGTTTTAGTGCGTTCTTTCTCTTGTATGTTCAAGGAGACTCCATCACCAATATTATATATAATAGTAGACTTTCAAGGCTCCTAAAAATGTCCACGTCAACAGGCGAGTGGGTCCTACCGCGTGTGTTTTTAGCAAAAAAAAGGTATAAAACTTTGTAACGCTAAATGTTATCGAAGAATTACGACTTGGCCGAGTGGTCTTAGCCGATGATGATAAGTTTGTTCTGCGAGTGTACGAGTTCGAAACGCATCGCTTGCATGTGATTTTTCGGTTTGATTTGCGCTTTAGGGTTTGATTTGGGCTTTCTTGGTTTGAACCCGATAAGGTTAGGTTTTGTCTCACCCCGACTCTAGACGTTTCTCGGCCATTCAACGTGTACGATTATATCATTTACTGAAAAAAAAAAATTATCCTTCAAATCATAAGCTTCGTCTTCAAAAAGAAGTCTAGGGTTTCTGCTCCACTTCAGAAAAATCGCAAAAACACAGAACGACCCTTTAGATTTTCCTAAGCATTTTTATCTTCCTCAACCTATACATCTTCCCATCTATCACTTCATCATTAATGGTCTTGATTCATATCACCTCCGTAAACTCTCCTTATATATACTTCATCTTCAACAGAGGAACTCTTCATCTTAAAAACCTCATCGATTCCTCTCCCAGGGTTACCTTTTAACAAGTTCTCATATTCGTGTCACCGAAACCAAAAAGAAAACGCAAATTCGATTTCTTCCCATCTTTAAGCACTTCATCATTAATGGTCTTGATTTGTATCACCTCCGTAAACTCTCCTTATATATACTTCATCTTTAACAGAGGAACTTTTCATCTTAAAAACCTCATCGATTCCTCTCCCAGGGTTACCTTTTAACAAGTTCTCATATTCGTGTCACCGAAACCAAAAAGAAAACGCAAATTTGATTTCTCTCTCTAAAACTCTGGCTCTCTTGTCCATGGCTGACATCGACAGCGATGGGAACGAGCTGCGAATCAACAACAAACAAGTTCTTTAATCGCTGCGATGCGTACCAGAAAGACGAGCTACATAGCTTCCGTAAATCCTGACATGAATGTGCGTGGACCACTCGAGTCCATGGAATGTGATCCTCTCTTGGACGATGTTCGTTGTGTCTTCACTCTCTGGTTCCGACGATCTCTCACTTCTTCCTCACTTGCGCAGACTGCTACGGTTACCATTCAAGACCTTACGACTCCTTCGTACAACTGTCTTTCAGCAGCGACTGTCTCTCAGCAGCGTTGTCGCCATCTCTTTCCTCTGTCTCACCAGATTCATCATTAAGTACGGATGGTTCTTCTTCTTCAATAAGTTATGGTCTTTGAGAGGTTCTTCCCATGGATGAGACATTTACAAATCTCCATACGATGCAACGAAATCTCTCTTTCGTTTTGTTTTGAACAAAATTTACAAGGAGTAGTGATGCAGACATGAGTTTTTTTAACGAGAAATGGACAAATTGTCCTGATGGATTTAATGTTTTGTATGACTTTCAAACAAAAAAAGAAAAGTTTTCTGTTTTTTTTTTAACAACGTATTTTAGTTTTGTTGATTGCTTAATTTATTTAATAATATGATGATGATAATAACTTTGGCTTCGAAGTGCATCCATAATAAAGAACTACTTATAAGCTCTATATCTCATAGTTTATACCTTATGGATCATGTAAAAGTCATACTTGCTTTCAAACTAAGAGCATGTGTGTTTTCTGATTTTATCAAACAACTAGATTTTGACCCGCGCTTTTCAAGTGCGGAAATTTTTATGATTAAAAATTTATATAATTGGGTTTTTTCTTAATTTAAAGATTTTCTTCGCTATAAAATCCGTTCACCAAAATTTGTGGTGGTGATTGTTTTTCATTAGTTTTTAGTTTCAGTTTTTATTTTTGGATTTTGGTTTTAAGTTTATATTTTTGATTTTCAGCTATTGGTTTGAGTTTTTAATTTTTAGACCTGCTGAGTTAGTTTGAACTGATATTACCAACAAACAAATCCTAAAAAATCGAACATCTAATTTAAAACTGAAAAGATAAAAAAAATTATAAAAATTTGCAATAGTTTATTTTGTAAATAAACAAAAGCAAAAAATATAACCTGCGTTTTCAGCTTTTGGTTTTGGATTTTAGTTTTTAGATTTGGTTTTTGGTTTTGCTTTACTTTTTTTTTAAATGAGTAAATTATTTAAGAAAAAGAAAACAATAAATTATTTAAAAGTCATCATTGAATTTTATCAAAACAAAGTGATTGTTATTTAAAATAAAAAATAAATTAACATGTTTTAAAGTACATGATTTAAATAAATTATTAATAATAGACAATTTTGTTTTGTTAAAAATATTAAATACTTTTTGGGCGTGAAAATAATAATTGATTTTTTGATCCATTAAGGTGGAAAGTTTATTCAATTTTTTTAGAGTTTTTCCTTAATAATAAGCCCAAAAACCAAACCATATAATTTGTTCTAAAAATAAAATTAAACCCAAGATTGTATCTCATAAATAACCACCGGTTTAATTTAAGTAATACGGTTCAATTAACTATAAGACTTGTATTATTTGTAACATTCTAGAAAGGGTCCAAATTTAAATGACAACTTGTATTAGTAGATAAAAGAACTAGAGTTTTTACCCACACGTTCGTCCAGGTATATTTTTCCTTTTAAAATTTTTATTTAATATTAATGTAAATGTTTAAAATATATAATTTATATTTTTATGTTATATATTGTGTAAATTTATAATATAATTGATGTAGGTTTTTATTCAAAATTTTTAATATAAAATTTTTTTTGTATTTTTATATTTTCTCAACATATTATTTTATGATAAAAATATTAAATTTTCAGTTAAAAATATTTTTTCCTAATATCTTCTGAATTAGTAAAATTTTCTGATATCATATCTATTTTAAATAACACATGAATTAAAAGTTAGTTATATACTATTATTTTTTATATAATCATTTTAGATAATATGTTTTGTAAGTTTTAAATTAAGTAAAAAATAAGATATAGTAAAAATTTAACATTATGCTAACATTTTTGTATAAAAGTATACATAATTTATGATGTTAATCCTTTTAATGGTGAATAATTTTTTTTATTTAAGTGAAATAAATTTTAAAATAAACTTTCATTTACCAACTTTATTTATTTTATTTAATTCATAGTGCAATTCTATTTTAATATAACATATACTTTAATATGAAATTTATAAAATAGTATAAAATTTCTTTTTTGTTATTATAATGAAATTTTAATTAATATTAATGTATAATAGTATGATATTATTAATTACGAAATTTATTATTATGTTATTTAATAAAAAAAAATTAAACTTTTAGTAAGATTTTGTTAGATCTTATCACAACCGATTCTGTTATAACTAAAAATAAAATGTAAATCTATTATTTTCAGCATATATGATATATATTTGATTGATTAACCTAGATAATTTAATATGTTATATAAGTATTTAATGAAATGGTCCTATATGACTTCTTTGTAGTAGATAAAAATATTGACTCTATTTTAATAGAGTAGATGACTTTATTTTAATAGAGTAGATATTTTGATAGAATCAACACATAAATTTATATAGATATTTTAAAAATTATGATTGCTGATGTAAATGTGACAATTGTTGTCATGATTCACTTATTCAAAGATCCACCTATTCAGGTCACCATACATCTCAAGTCAGAAGCCAAGATCACGTAATCGCT